GTTGACTAGGAAAAAAAAAACTATAGTCCCTATAGAGCTCCTTATTCATTTGTGCAAATATTGGGATAGCTTGAATTGGGCCAATTTATTTGAGGGAGTCTTGCACAAAACCAAATTATTTTTCATTGTTAATTAGTTATTGATTTTCATTTTGATTTAAATTATTTTAATTTTCTTTTATACTATGTAATGTTTTTATTGTATACCATGGTTCGTGTTGGAACAGGAAGGTGAGGTAGAAATTTAAAAATAAATAAAACAAAACAATTGTGATTTCACTGTTCAATTAGTATGTACAGACAGAATTACATATAGAAAGATTCAAAATTCATATTTTAAAATGCAGACAAATAAGAGCACGAACAGATGTGGATGTTTTTTGTCAGATGACTGAAACTAATTTATATTTTAATTTTATTTGTCAACTGACTGAAATTAATTTATATTTTAATTTTTATTTGATTATACAGATCAGTCATCGGGCTCTCAAAAAGTCAATTATTTTTCACACCAAAAAATCCCCTTAATTATGGAAAGTTTCACAGCAAATGAAACCAACCAACCAGGAACAGAAACCTTGCAGTGCTACTAATCAATCCTGGCAGGAGTGCATACATATGTGCCTGGGTTCATACAAGACACTAAGTTATAATAAAAAATTTGTTTGGTTTTGGCTCGGTTCACTGTATCAGTAAACCATAATTAAGCAAGCCAAAGTTTAGTGCAGTGTGTGGACCCAGTCACTATGTATTAGGGAGAAGTGTCAGGAACAGGGAAAATACAAATGTTCTCTAGCTGTACTGTGTCCTTAATCACTTTTAAAATGCAAACCTGAGATTCTTCTGCAATCCAAAATGGGGAACAGTGCTGAAGGCTGGTAATGCTATCAGTATGGACATAATACTGTAGACGCTTGCCATTTCTCTGACATAGGGTTTCTTTAGATTAGTGTTTCTCAACCGTGGCAACTTTAAGATGCGTGGACTTCAACTCCCAGAATTCCCCAGCCAGCATGCTGGCTGGGGAATTCTGGGAGTTGAAGTCCACGCATCTTAAAGTTGCCACGGTTGAGAAACACTGCTTTAGATCATCATGGCTTAATTGTTCTTGGCATTCTATAAGCTCCCACATTCTTAGCTGGCAGGTAAGTATTTATTAATAGGCTTTGGTAAAGGATACTTCAAAATCCTTTGAAACTTCAACTATTCAAAATCTTAAGCTAAAGAACTCTTTTTGGAGAGAGTGAGGATATTGAAGGAGGAACTCCTTTTCATTTTTCCCTATGCACTTGGCATTAGTTCCATAGCTTGGAATAGAAATCTATCAATTCATGTCTGAGGAAAAGAATCTTAGAGCAGCATAAGGTCTAGCAGGGGTGAAGGTAAGTATCTTCTGAAATATGTTTTGGGAAAGATGAGCTGAAATGTTCTTTACCAAAGGAGCAGAGCTTGATTTTATTCAGAGCTCAAACCAGGAGTGTGACATACATCTTCCATAAATGTGCATTTTCCCACCTGACCTCTTCAGCTTTTCTCCTTTTTAGCATACATTCTTTGCCTAGGGAAACGATGACAGCTACAGTCAAACACATAGAGATTGGAGGAAAAGCTGCTATAGACAATATGCTATATAACAATATATATCAGAATAAAAAAAAGGGGGGGGAGCTGAATGATTTGGAAGTTTTCTTCCCTTATAACTAGTTACAGTTCCTTGGCTCTCATTTTAATCTTTTTCTTTCCTCTGGTGCTTTTTCAAATCATTCACTGCCTACTACAGGCCTTACATCCAAACTTAAATATTTCACTTGATAGGATTCAAATTCAAAGCCATACACATGCCAGCAGATAGCCATGGTCCCAGCATATTTGACTACGAGGCACACAGACTGAACATAATTCCATGGTATCTTGAAGGCAATTTTTTCCACTTCATTATTCACTTAATATGCACATTAATAATTAATAGTAAGATGACATACACTTATGCTACAGAGGCAGGTGTGGTGGACTGGAGTAAAATCCCTGACGTTACATAGTGTATAAGATTGGCCTAATATTTATTAGCATCCAAAGCCACTTTTTAAAACCGCATTATTTGTTAGTACCCAATTTTTTGATCAGAGAAAATACCAAGGAATATCATATGATGTAATCCAGAATATTAAGCAGATATATCATATGCAGATAGCCCAAACCTGTTTTAAGACAAAGGAAAATCTCAGTTTTAATTCCTTAATGAAGTTGCCCATGAAATTCTGTGAATAATAAAAGCATTTCAGCTTCATAAATCAAACTCTGGTAAGAAAAGCTTGCCCAATGCATTTCTCTTTCCTGGTTTTGTAGGAAATGGACAAATTGACCACCAGGGGTAATAAGTCATCTGATAGAAAAGAATGGGAGAACTGGACTGGGAGAAAACTGCAGTGGTTCAATCCACACCTTGGCTCTTTACTCCCTCCACACCCCAGACAGGACTGATTTGCGAAGAACCGATGAAGCAACTGGGAACATATGCTTGGATGTAACTTACTACAAACAATCTTATTTTGCATTGAAGAAATAATTAAAGATGTTGTTTTAATGAGTATGGACTCTATCATTTATGGCTCACACTCTACTCTTAGTTTAGCTTCCTGGCATATAAACTGTTGCCCTTTATTCAGGTCACTTATAAGATCCAAGGAGTGATGACTTTATACAGCAACTTTCTGCACCATGGCAAAGAAGCCACGATCTGCTTCAGTTTGAGGTTCTTCTCCCCCCAATCCTTGGGGTCAAATGAAACAAAAATCCCTTTTCTCTCCTGATTTTTAAGTGTGATGTGATTGTGAAAAAAAAAGTTAGGTAAATGTAGGAAGTGGCATAGTCATAAGGGCTCACTCTCAACTAGCAGGACGAGTATTACTTTAATTCATATAAAATGCTGACATTTACCTAAGTCACAGGCGTATCTAAATTAAGAAACTACCAGTTTCTGAGCAGCAGGGAATGGGGCTGGTGGAATCCATGAGCTCAGAGACAGCTTACTGAAGGGGACTGGGTAGCTTCTTCCATTCGAATCTCTGGGTGGTGGTACCTAGCCTTCTGTATAGTTCCTGGTGCTTCTGGGTTGGCATTACCAAGCACTTTTAGCAGGGCTATTTCACTGACCTTTCTAACCACATAAAGACTAAGTACAGAGGTGCCTTGTTTCTGCACAGCATCCAAGTCTGGACACAGCCAGTTTCTAAAATGGTGGTTCACTGTCATTCTCAGCTAGGTACTTGGGAAAACAGGAACAAGTTCACAGGAACTGGATCCAAGCAACTAGAAAACATTCCTTTCAAAGCAACTATTGGGTATGCTTTTACAGACAAAATTAGTCTGAGAAAATAAATTGTATCCCCTCCCCCACAAGATCAAAAATACAGTGTGACTGACCAATTGCAGCCTCATCTCTAGAATAACTACTGTCACAGTCCTTTCTCTTAGTGGGAACGTGATGGAATCTATCTACGAAGAGGAGGGTGATGTGAGAGATCAAGGCTATCAGGAAGGAGTGGGTGCATTCCAGGGATGGAAAGGAGACAAAAGACAACGCAGTCTGCAGGAGGAGTGTGGGAAGCGAAAGAGGTTCAGGATATCCACTCCTTAGAATCTCCCAGGGTATCTCCACTTGCTGCACTAGCACAGATTTAGTCTGGCAAGATTCTGTCTATAAGGTGTAAGCAAATAAAGGAACTTGACTCAACTGGACTGTTTCACCGTTGATCTTGGGCTGGGCCTGACATCAACCTTGATGGACTAAATCTATACTACTGCAACAAGTGGATATACCCTGGGAGATTCTAGGGAGTGGCTATCATGAACTTCTTTTGCCTGCCATGCTCTTCCTGCAGACTGTATTGTCGTTTGTCTCCTTTCCCTTCCTGGAATGCACCCCCTCCTTCCTGATAGCCTCGATCTCTCACAAGGAATGAATGAATAGGTCTCTACCTTGGAAAGATATGCCCCTACTCCTATCATGTTTTTCTTCTCCCTTCAACCACCACCACATGCAGCAGCTCTTAACTCCCTTTGCTCAGAATGTTTCTCTCTCCTTTCCTGCCAGGAAGAAAATTAAATCCTTAATGACTAAGTAAATGACCTTACTCCAAGAGCACAATCCTGACCATGATGGAAATGCATTTTTCCAAATTATTTCCAGGAAAAAGTTCAGCCTAGCTCTATCCTATCCTGTCCTGTCCTGTCCTGTCCTGTCCTGTCCTATTCCATTAATTCTAAGGAGATGTGGGCTATAATTTTAAAGCAGCAAATTAGGAATAAACCCTATAGACCTCAATGGGATTTACTATGCATCCTTAGGATTGCACTATTTATGAAAAACATTAGGCTTGGAAAGTGAGGTGGAAGCTTGAAGGCAATGGCTCAAAGTGAAAGCACTGAGGTTGTATGTGCCCTTATGGGAGTAAGCTTTAATTAACACATTTTATTTACCTCCACTGTTGCAGAATTCAGTGCTACATTCCTATACACATTTACTTCAGAATAGTTTGATTAGGCTTACCTTAGAATAAATATGTTTTAAAATTGGTTTGTGCTTTTCCCCCCCAAGCAATCAGGCTTTTGTGCTGCTGTAAGGTACTAGGGGGATTTTGTTATAGCTCTGGATTTATGGATTTTACAGCTCTAGAAGAATAGATTACTTCTATTTTCTGAAGTGATTGAGACCCAATGGAGGTTTCTGACAATAGGCAATACGTATGGGTGTATGTATCAGAGATGACTACCACTGATTTCCTCTTCCCTGCTATAACCCCCAGTGCCAGCTGCCATGCAGCCCCACAGGATATCCTCATTCCCAATATTCCATAAGAGACTTTGGGAAGGTACTGAGAGCAGGG